AAAAAAAAAAAAGAAAAAGCTTAAAAATCTAAATGTACAAATTCAGCCTTGAAAGGGTTTAGTGCAAATATGAAAATTAACAGCATAATTTTAAGGTACTTAAATAAGCTTTAATATAACTAGAGTGCTTCCTTCCTACACACTTTCCCGTCAACCAATGCAAGAGCACGGAGCATTTCTCGCTGGGAGCGGGGACAAACCCAGAACCTGGGAACCAACAGCACCAAGTCCTGTGTTCCACCATCGATTTGTCCCTCGAGGGCAGACGGGGCAGGCGTTAGTGGAGGAGCAACACACGTATCAATGTACTGATCCTGGAGCGGAGGAGCGAGGGGGTGGGAGCGAGGGGGTCAAGAAACGCCGTCCCTGTTCCTGCCATTCAGCGCACACAAATGCTGGTGGGATGAGGCGTCCGCCGAGCCGGCGCGCACAGTCCATCCGCCCGGACAGGCGGCGCGTCAGAAGGTCTCGTCGTCGTTGCAGTCGGCCGTCCAGTGCCCGAACATCTCGCAGGTATCGCAGTAGGGGCGCTCCTCTCTCCTGCTGCCGTGGTAAGCCGAGTGGGGCGGCTCCTCCAGCATCTGTGCCTGGGTTGGACAGTCTTCAGTGTCGTGAAGATCAAAGCAGCCGCAGATATCGCAGAAGAGACGAGGTTTCTTCTTCGACAGGCTTTCTTCCTCACTGCAAGATCAGCACCAGCGCACGTGAGCAGGGAGCTTCCCCTTCAGAGAGCAGAGATGCCCGTTTCCTGCCCTGCCCGCTAAGCTCGCGGTTACTGAGTCCGGGAAACACCAAGCTGGTCAACAAAAGAAAAAACCCCAACCCTCCTGAAGACCATCCGACGTCTCTGCCACCCTGCAGTACCTTGCACTGTAATATTTACTGAACAAACCGCTCTCTTCCCACAAACACAGCCATTATTTAAAAAAGAAACACATCTAAACCTGTTTCTCTCTTCCCCGCGACCGAAGAGGCCTGACGCCACAACGCAGCGATTAGGCTTCAGCTCTGTTTCTGGGGACCGGATCTCCCCGTCCCTGTGACGCTGCCGGCCTCGTACAAGCAAAGGCTTTTCTCCTTCGTTTGGAAAGGGCCAGACCTAAGCAAGACTGACAACACATGCTGGGATTCATCGGGGTGTGTGATGGGTAACCCCAGAGGATCACTTGGCACCACCAGGCACACGCAGCAATGGACCCACAACAGCGGCCGGATTCAGTCGCTACGTTGAGACAGCGACGTTTGTCTCCCGCACCAGCTGCATCAGGCCGTGCCCCGCACAGCGGACAGACCGGCCCGCTGCCAGCAGGCCCAAACCACAACCACGACCTTCCCTTAGGACTTATACCTGTCGTAGTTATTGACCTCCTCTTCATTGCCATTGAGGGCTGCTTCGCACATTCGTTGTATTTTCAAGTTCAGTTCTTCATTCCTCCTCTGCAGATCCACTATCACCGAATTCAGGAAGTCAATCTGCGACAGCCAAGGACAAGGACAGTCAGCAGGCTGAGGACTGAACCGCCGGAACACGCGCAGCGAAGAACGACCCGCAGGGTAACACCGGATCGGCTCGAGCTCCTACGGGCGGACGGCTGTTCTGCAAACAGCGCCCGGGGACTCTGAAACAAGGGACACAACTTCCCAACGGACCCTGAGACCCTCCCTCAGGGCGATCTGCGTCCCCGGGGTGCCAGGCGCCTAGCCAGCGTGTCCGACGGGCATCGGGGGTCTCGACCCACCACGGATCGAGCACGTTCTGTTTCTAACGTCACGTTTTGAAGGGGAAGGCAGTTACGTAACGCTGACCAGAATGACGTGATTCCGCTCCTCTGCACCGGCGGCTCTAGGGGCTGCTCCCCAGCGCCGTGCGGAGGGGCCCTGTACCGCACCCCAAAGCCAGGTCGGACGCCGGCGGTCAGCAGGGCCAGCCCTGCAGCAGCGCTGCCGCGTGTAGCCAGGAAACGCTTGGCAAATCAACGCCCTGAACGAAACTCAGGAAGCCAAGAAGCGGAACAAACCTCGTGCTGCTTGGAAGGAAGGGTTGCCGCCAGCAGGTGAAGTCAAGGAGGCAGAAAAACAGAAGATGAGTGGTTAGTGGATGTCAGTTACACTACTGATCGCGCAGCCTAGGAAGGACGTGTTTTAATCCCCAGGACTGACACGAGCGATCTAACGAGGACCTGGGCGCAGAAGGCGCTCTGTTCTAGCCGTGTTCCCCAGGCATTTGTCGTCACAGGCTGCTGTGGCACGGCAGCGCTTCACGCGTGCGTTGCGGTTATCAAACTCCCTGATTCGCTTTTTCCCAAATCGGTTACCAAGCACAAGCTGAGTAACTTCCTGGCTCCATTGCTGCCCACCCTCATTCTGAGTGAAGTTCTGCAGTTAAGAAGAAAGCCAAGAGCAACGTTTTCAACTGCAGAAGTGGGACGTGAGCTCAGGCAGCCCCTGTCTCCAGGCTGGCAAGCGCCAGAGCCAGGTGGGCCACCCCTCAGCCCTCGGTCGCATCCGGAAAGCCTTGGAAAGGCCAGCACGGAGCAGCGTATGAGGGTGCTGTGCTGGGCTGTACCTCACCCAGAGGCTGCAGGCCAAGACCTGCCTCCCTGCTTGCTTCCTCGCGTTCTGACAGCCGGATTGGTATTGCCCGTCACCTGACTCTTCCTGCTCCCTGCCGTTAGTGTTTCCCTTCCGACGCAGAAGGTTAAAAGATAAATCTGCCCATTATAATCCTGATCTACAGAATCTGACAGGAACTGCCTTTGGAAAAGTACTTCACTGCCTACGGACACACTGCTGTTTTCGCATGCTGATGTTTCAGAACAAGTACCTGCTTCTCTTTTGCAATTTCATCCTGAAGCAGGTGAGCAGCGATGTCACCTTCAAAGAAAAAAACAAGCAAACAAACAAGGTATAAGTAGCCAGTAATCTAAATTATGAACGGCACAACGGCTTTAGTCGGAGCCTGAAGTGATGGAATTGTCGCTAGTCTCCAAACATCCTATTCTCACTGTAAGCTTTGGCAAGGGTGACTCCCATGGGAATTCTCTGACCGCTGCATTCCAGAAGCCTATGCAAGACTGCATGTTACTTACTAAACCACAGATCTTAAAAAAGCACGTGCAGGTGACAGGGAGCGTTGCGAGGTCTCCGCGGGAGCGCTCCTCTCGCAGAGACGAGGCTGCAGTGGTGCGCAGCCCACGCAGCTCGGCACAAGGTAAGCACGAGCGTCTCGGATGTGGGACTGCCACGCCGGCGCCAGGTGGGTGGTTCTGGTGCAACGCCTCCACGACACTTTGCAGCTACAGCAAGGAAAACCAGAACCACTCAGAGAGAGGCTCTTGCAGAGAAGCCACACCATGGCCAGGATCAAGTTTTCTGGTTTATGCACATGTTTCAAGTCAAGTTGCCCCCCGTAAGGGTGCGAACGGGGTTACCCGGTGACGCTGGCAGCTTTCACACTCTGCCGCAGAGCTCAAGTCTTACGCCTGTCCCACAAGAGCAAAGTCACGTTTCTCAGGAGGTTCAGTTAGTTAACCCTCCGTTTAAGGCTCGGGTTAACAGGGGCAAAATCCTGCAAGAGTAAAGCGGAAGGCACCGAGACAGCGGAGAGGCTCTCTTTTACCTGAGGAGCTGGTGACAGTTAAAGGCTGTTCGTTGTTTTCCTTGAGTTTTTGCTCCAAGTTCTTCACCTTTTCCTCAAGTTTCAATTTGTCAGACTCCAGTGACTTAACCACTGACTGCAAGGTTTTTGCAGAAGCATTTTCTCCACGGAGCACCGTGATCTGGAAGAATTATTGGAGGACACTTAGACCTTCTAGCATGAAGCCAGGACCAAGACAACATCCTGAGCAGTAAGGGCTGAATAGCCACCAAAAATAAGGCCCGAAGTCACCGAAGTGTGCAGAGACACCGCAGATTTAACTCAAAGGTTTAACTGTGCTACATTAATAGAAGGAGAGAATTAGCCACCTCTCCAGTAGCAAACGTACAGAGCCACACGCGTGCAGCCATAACTTAACTGGAAACTAAGTACCATCTCGCTGTTCCTCATTTACCTCATTTCTGAGTTTTTCCAGCTCCTCATCTTTTTGTGTGATCAAGGCACTAGTAACACTGATGGATTTTTGTAACGACGCTCAAAACATCAATTTCTTTTTTTAACGTTGATTCTCTAGAAGAAAACCAAATACAGCCAGAAATCATCTGAAGAATAATTACTGCTGTCGCCTAAAGAAGTTTAATTTCAAGTACCAGACTACTGTAAGAAATGGTTCTTAAAAGGCACATTTCAGTTCTGCACTTGACTAAGATTTTACGTACATACGGACATTTCAGATGTTACAACTGTGGAAACAAAGCAAAAACTTTACCTAGGTAGCACATGCCAGAATCTGCATGTCATCGTATCCATTTCAATTTAAAGGAGCAAGTTAAGAGACTGGGGAGATACAGGATAAACAAACATGTTGCACAATGTTCCACAAAAACCTCACTTCAGAGTTTTGTCACTTCTTTAAAATTATTAACAAGCAACAAAACACACATGCAAAGCTCATTGTACAAGTGTCATGCAAAGCATGGATGAGGCTGGACATATCAGCTGGTCCTCACTAATTTCAGTGACGTCATTATTTCCTGACACACGCGCTTGGAGGGTTTTGGGGTCTTTAATACTGTTTCGGCACAAAACCATGTGGAATTTTTTTTACTTCACGGAAGAGGGGTTGAAAAGAAATCCTCCAGAGCAGGCACAACCCCCTCCTGCGTACCCACGCCCCATTTTCCCAACCTTTTCACTTGATCTATGAAGAGACGTGACTTCTGCCTACGAAGCCCGTCCTGACAGCGACCTCAAGGCATCACAGCTACGACACCCTCACGGCGGCTATCGCGTCTCCCTGGGAGGTGTCACAACGCACCCAGCTGAGTAACTGTCCTCTGATATGAGGGCTAGTGCCACAAAAGGTCTCTGCAAGCTGAAAGGTTTTTGGTTAAGGAAAAAACCCACCACGCACAAGAACTCATTGCTCCCAAAGCTGTGTTTGCTTATCTAGAAGACAAACTTGATTTCCGAGCGCCCAGCGGCACCCAGCAGTGCCCAGCAGCGCCCAGCAGCTAGCTGCCCCCTCCCCGAGCTCCTGAAGGCGAGGGCGGTGTTCTATGCCATTCCACACCTCTCGTTCTGTGCCATTCCATGCCTCTCGGCACAGAGGATCACGGTCTCTTCTTAGGAGCCGAGAGTGCTGAAGACACCCAGGGTACCCGACCGTGCGCCCACCACCCAGAAAGCCCCAAGTAGCCAACACGTCAGAGCTAACCAAGTGGCACAGCGACCTCATTTCATTCACTGAGCGCCACCACGCTGCCTCGGGACCGTTCGAAGGATCAGGAGCAGAACGCATCCCTGAGTGATGGTGCTCAGTAGGGAGGGGGTAGCCGTTAGGTTCAAGTGGCAAAGTTTTCACATCCACAGTATCTACAGTTAGTGAGAGCCATGATGCCCAGACCAGGAAATAGAGTGAATCTCACTGACTCAAGATAAACAGGAAACTCAACAGTGAGAGCACAATTAATGCAATTCTTTCATTGTTTGGAGTAAACTGGGGAATGGAAGCAGCAAGTGGAGAATCTGGGGTTTAGAAAAGCTGATGTAACTGCCAAACAAGAACCAAAAGGTTGATTTTGGTTTTGGTGTATTTTTACAATGAGAGAATTAATATAAGCAGAAACACAGTAAATTGCAGACTGCCCGACTGCCTTCAAACGCGTGTTGTTCTCCTGTTAATAAAACCCCAGCGGGTAACGGCATTTAAGGGATCTCGTCGGCAGCCCACATTCAGCAGAGCTCTGGACGCATGACAGCAGCCTGTTCTTCAGCATCCCGCCTCCGCAGTGCTCCGCTGAGCTGCATCCAGGGTGCAGGGTGGGAAAGAAATGCGCCCCCAACGCACCCGGAGCAGAGCTGCCCTCTCCGATCCAGAGCTGCAAATCCAGTACTTAAAAAGTACACCTGGAGGTTGCCACTTACCAGCTCTGCTGTACCCGAGACTTCCCCCCAGCTTCCCCTTGGCTGCACGGGCAGCGGTAGAGGGGCAGATGGAAACCTCAGTGACCCACCTCACGCCCAAGAGCTTGCCTTTAGCCAAGGCTTCCACTTTTCGGTCAGATCTTCATCTCGGAGATCACGACCAAACATGCTTTTTTGTACAAATAAGGTTAATGTGCCATTTGTTGGGCTTGGCTTCAACCACCACAAGCATTTAGGTGGTTGAAAAAGGCAAACAGTTTGCGAGAGTATAAATATTTACGAGTTCTGTGTTGGAGTCTAGAATGGTGTAACACAGGGGGAGAGAAACGAGAAGGGGGGAGAGAAAACGAGGGGAGAAAAGGGTCCCTGTACTGTAGCATTGTTTTTCCGTCTGCAGAGCAGTCTCTCCGGGAACCAGGCTTTACCGCTCCGGTTGGAGGCCCTCTGAGATGCTGAAGGTGGAAAACCTACACACGGAGTAGGTGCACGTCACTACTTACGTTTACGTAAGTGTGGATCACGGGAGCCTACCCCAGCGATGCTCTCGGCTCCAGCATCGTCTGGAGTACGATTCATGGCAGAGACAGCAAACGCGAGGAGCACATGTTGAACGTGAAATGACTGTGAAATGGTGTGAAAACTACTTATTTTATCAGGGGAGAAAAGGCAAATTGATTTAGTGAACTTAAATTTTCCCCCTGCCAATTCAAGTTCAAAATAATCTGCCTGCCAGCAGGGACTAAAGAAAAACAACAGCTTTGTCATTTCACTTGCCATTTTGAAATTTCACTTTCCTGAGGAGGCTAAACCACGTTTGGAGCGGTGTGTGGAAGTCATGGGAGAGAGGGGGTTTTGGTTTGGTTTAATATTGAGTCACCCAGATTCTTCCCTTACTACAAAAATAAGAAATTCTAAGAATGAAGCAAATACCTTAAAGTGTTACTGGGCAAGCTTTAAAAATGCAAGATAACAAGAACCATGTTAGAAACACGGAGTAGAAATGGAAAATATCGTAAGGAAGAACTAAATTTGCACCAAGGAGCTTTTCGGCTTTGGTAAAAAAGATAGACTATTTTTTTAATACATACATACATATATATATAGAGCTGAGTATTTTACAAAACAGAAGCAAGACACCAAGGGACAAAGGCAGCCAAAATATGTACAACAACTTTACTTAAAAAAAAGAATTATTTATTGTAACGTGGATAGACTTTCTTGAGTCTTACCATTAAAGACACACAGATATAGCAAGGGAGGCAAGGGCAGGAAAGGGAAGAGAGAGGAGCGAAATGAGTATTGATAAAGAGCGCAGGCCCAAAGACAGTCAGACAGTTAGCAACCCACAACGAACCTAACGAGCCGAGGAACACACAACCCCCTTAGATTCCTAAACACCCTGCTACTCCCGGCTGGACTACTGCACAGAGGGAGTCGCTAAAACAGAGGAAGAGAATTCCAGTGGGTGGGAGGCAGGAAAACTACTGCTAGAGACCTGACCGAACTGCAACAAAGAGACGTCTCTTTGTCAGTGTCTCAGATTCTTAAGGCAAAAGGAAGAGATCACCGCTCATCTCATCACCAGTGGCAGTGGAATTTGGGAATTCAGAGACACCCTTTTTTATTTAATCAGCTCTTCACTTGGCCTAACCCTTTCCGTTGAAAATAACAGCATGTGCCGGGGTATTTTAACGCCGACGGCCTGTGCCCTGCGGCAGTGGGGCTGACGGCTTCTGCCGCTTGTTTTCTCCCTTCTCTTGGAGGTTATCCAACACTGTTGAGAAACGTCAGGAGGCCGGACGTGGGCATCCCAGCGAAACCGACTGAAGGGGCAAGAGTGCTAAAACTCACTCTCATGATGCCATAATTATGTAGGTTATTACAGGCAGCTCACAGAGAGCAAGCAGAAGGAAAATCAGAGCCACGCACTTTGCTTTTTACAGCTTACTGCAGAATGTGTCTTTTAAAATATGTGGTGTCAAACAGAACTGCTGGAAAGGATTGGTTGAATCTTGGGTCCCCATTCCCTCCTTCCTTCCTTCAAGCAACTTTCAGGTATTACAATATTTAAAATATCTCTCAACTATTTAAAATATATGTTTTGAAACAGGTTAAATAACAGGCTACAAACAGCATTCTACGCTGTCAGCAGCACTAATACTCTCTTTTCCCTCCCTTCCACACATCAAATATGCTGGAGATGATCCTCAGTGGTGTAAACCCAGCCATTACTGAGGGTACCAGATGGTCTTTACATCAGCTACAGACTTCTCTCCTGACCTTCTCCTTCACTTCGTCTTGAAAAGCAACTTACGCCACCCCAAAGGCCGAGCGACCCGGTTCCCGAGGCTGGCCAGAGCCCGAGGGTCAGCTCTTCGCTTGCCTCTGCCGAGCAACGGACCAAGCTCTGCACTCTCCGAGGGAGCTTCAGCTCCTGCAACCCCTGTGCCGCTGCTCTTCCAAAGGTGCACGACCCCCGCCCCGATAACGGCTTACTGGGGCGTGAGGAAGGATCAGTGGGTAATTCTGAGTAGCTAAGGGTGTGCGTGAGTACCAAAGCGCCTCTCGCTGTTCCCTGCTGTGACCATTATCAGTGCAGGAAATTCAACAGGGGTTGATTTGGTTTTCCTGGAACATACCTGGTGTCCTGGAGAGCTGCACCTTTTCTAAGGATTTATGTAACTTCTTCTGAAAAGCCCCCCTCTTCCTGAAGACATCGTGGCACTTCACCAATTAACCTGCCTTCCACACAAACACTGCAGACAGACAGTCATTTTGTAAGTGGGGAGCGCTTCCGGAGCAGCACGGTTTACCAGTGGATGCCCCAGTCACCCAGGACAAACCTCCTGCCATTTCCCAACAGTGCGGAATGAGCTGCAGCAACTCCTGCCCCGCTGAACTCGGTACGCCCAGACGACGAGAACCGGCCCTTCAAGCCGAGCAGCTGCTGCTGCTCTCTCCTTGTCTGGGTTTTTTACTAACAATCCCGGCAGCACTGAATCTTCCCATTACTCCCTAAGAGCCGATGGGCCAGATCTGTAAGCACACGTATTCACCAGGCTGAGGGACATCCCAACATTCCAGAGCGGACTCAAAGCACTGAACTGGTTGCTGAAAATGAACCGCTGCCGTGGGAGAGGTGCATCACCAGAGGAAACGGCAAATTCCACTGCTCAGCGTGTTCTTCCCTCCACACAACTACACTGCCTTCCCACTTCTAGTAACGAGAACAGGAGGATACACACACTGGCTTACAGACGGCAACGACCTCCGGACTTTTAACTGCGATATGACAGGAAAGAACCGCTTTTCCTTAGTGCTGGTTTTGCACTACGTGTTCTCAAGTTCTGAAACACACACCAAAGGCAACTTACCTCTTTTTCATCTCTAACAACTGGTTATTGAGTACTGATCTCTCCTCTTCCAGCTAAAACACAAGTACAAGAAGACTACAGTTAATAGGCTAAGGATTGTTTCCTTAGTACCAGAGCAACATCATCATCATCAAACCAAGGTGGGAGAGGCTGCGGAGCCCACAAATCCTCCACGTAATCGATTTTCTCCTGGGACAACACGCACACACAAATTGTCCAGTGACCAGGAATTTTAGCTAGTGAGGGGCCATTTCTGCTTCCTCCCGTGTTTGCGTGTCCTGTGCACACGTGAGATGGGAGGCAAGAGTTGCCTTTTATTTCCGGGGCCCAGGCACTCCAAAGAGCGCCGTGAGCCTTGGCGTGCCTGGCTGTTAGGTTTAGCCCCATATTAGTGAATTACTGGATTTGCCGCTGTCCTGACCTGGATAGCTGTCCTGCTGATCCGCATTTGTTACTGTATCACTGGAGATAAATTATTGATCCCTAAAGCTGTCGGTCTGGTGTCTGTTACTGGATCCTGAGCTGTAACTTAGTGGGGCCAACTTAAGCCCTTACCACGAGGAAGGTCTTCAGCTGAAAATACTGTCGCTGCAGGTTCTTGGGGTCTGAACCGACAGGCACACGTAGGCTTAGGAAACGCAGAACAAACTGGCCAGCCACCAGCTGTACAACAACAAAACTGCAAAGCCCCACTACAGAAGATACACTGGGGTAACTGAACTTCTGAGAAAGTTAGAAATTAAGTATTTTTCAGGGCAATTAATTATTTTCCACCATCTCCTCCTTTCTTCTTACTCAATGGCAAAAGCCAGCAATTGCTGCCCCACAGAACTCCTAAGAGTAGCAACTACCTGTGCCTTGACTGGAACACAGTCTCTGTTCAGATCTCACAAGCTTCCAGGGTTCATCCACAAGGTCAGCAAGACACACACTTATAACGGAGACCTCAGAGCCCCGGGAACAACAGCCAAGAGTCTCTGGCTGAGTAAAATCTTTCAGCACTTTGCAGACATCGAGGTTTGGCACCGAGAGGCACAGCAAGCATCAAGCAGTTTCCAGAGAAAGTTCCCACGAGAAGGAAGGTTGTCTGCCAGCCTCCAATTCGTGGCTAAAGGCAGCTCACCCAGATAAACTGTATCCTCTGTATTTCCTGACCACTTACCTTCTCCTTCCGTGTACTGCACTGCTGTTAAACCTTCCAGGTTTAAGGGCAATTGGTACCATTTTGCTGGCTTAGTCAGAAAACTTTATTGATACAAAACACAGATACTAGGAGGGTGTGAAGAGACATATTAGAAGTCTGAAAATCAAAAATCTCTCTCTCAAGGAGACTGGCCATGGGAAGAGAGTGAGCAGCCCCAGCGCTACTGAAAACCCTCCCGAGCTTGTGGAATGCTCCACGACTGCGAGCACAAACCCTGCATCTCTCCTCCCTTTTAGCTCCCTGCTTGGCTGTGGAGAGAGGAGTGATTTTTGTACAGACCAAGAGAGAAGTGGATGTAGAAGAGAGGGAAGTAAAGGACGGGATGTGAGAGGAGTTGTGCGGCTTCTACACCCCGCTGCAGCTGCACCAGTCACCGATCAAGCCCTGGGAGCTGCATGGTGGAAGGGGAGAAAGGACGCCCCTTGTCTCGACATCTCTCCAGCCTCAGAGCACACTTCCTCACACCTTTACTAACAGAAGGACTGTCGGTATTTCTACACCTTTCCAACGAAGTTAAAACGCCCGGGCAGGTCTGAGGCTCCCGGAACACCACAACAAATAACTTGGAGGCAGAAAAGGTCCCCCAGCTCAGTATCTGACTGGGAATCTTTACCTAATTACAAACAGCTAATTATTTATGGATCGATACAGAAAAGCACCCCTCAGCATCTTTAGCATGAGACACTTTAACCTTTAGATGTCAGGATAAATCATTCATGAAAG